TCAGACCCAGGGGTCCAGGTCCCCAGCCCCTCCTCCCTCAGACCCAGGAGTCCAGGCCCCCATCCCCTCCTCCCTCTGACCCAGTTGTCCGACCCTCAGCCCCAGGAGTCCAGGCCCCTAGTCCCTTCCTCTCTCAGACCCAGGAATCCCAGTCCCCAGTCCCCTCTTCCCTCAGACCCCGCAGTCTGGGCCCCCAGCCCCTCCTCTTTCAGATGTATGACTTGTATGAGTCCAGGTCCGCAGCCTCTCCTTCCTCAGACCCAGGGGTCCAGGCCCCCAGCCCTCTCCTCTCCAGAACCCGAGTCCTGGCCAAGACCCAGTCTTTCTAGGGACTCAGACAGTCTGAGTCCCAGCCCATTCCTCCCTCTGCTCGCAAGAATCCTGGACCGCTGCTCCCACCCACCCCCTGGGGTCCCCGCAGCCTCACCTCACGGGCCTGCTGCGGCTGCGGCTGAAGCAGAGGCGACAGCTGCAGACTGGAAGGGTCTGAGGCCTGGGTGGGGTTGGCGGGCTGGGGAGTGAGTGCGGGCGGGGCCGGGGGCGGGGCCGGAGACTGAGCAAGAGCACCACGCTCGGACCGGGTAAGGGACTCCCCCCTCGTCAGGGCTATCCCAGTCCCGCCCGAGGGCGGGGCCAAGGAAAGACCACGCCCCGCGGAATAAACGTACGGCTGATCTCGCGTCCCGCCAGTAGTGGGGGTGGAGGGCTGAGGTCACTGTTGCCATGGTGACAAAACAGGAAGACACAACAGCTGGCGGAGTGGGGGCTCCTGGGGGCTGCCCTCCCCGACACAGCCCTAGCGAAGTCTCTAGGGGAGGCCCGGGAAGGCCGTTGCCATGGCAACCTGCCTGTTTAGAATTTGTTTAGCACCGAGCCCCCCAGCCCGGGTCCCCACCCCAGTTTCACCTCACTCAATTCTCCCTCTCCCTTCCTGCCCCCTCCGTCCCCTTCTGCTCCAGCCCCGCTCTTCCAGGATGGATGAAATCTTGGACATCTGGGTCGTAGCGGGTTGGGGAAACCGGGCCTTTCAGTCTATGGGATCTGTGGGCTAAGGTCTCTGTCTCCTAGGTCCCTGAAAGAGGAAAGAGTTGAAGGTGGCTATCCCTAGGCTTTAAGAGGTTTCTAGGCTGAGGTCCCCTACTCCTGGGTCCCCTAATCTTCATTGACACTGGGACTCGCGGGGTAAGGGACTGGTGCGCCGGCCTCCTGGGTCCCAGATGTCACAGTCGATGGAGGCTGGGGAAGACGGTGTTGGTGGCAATATTCCTGGGATCTAGGGCGGTAGGAGTTGGGGGCACGGACTCCCGGGTTTCACATGACGCCTAGGCTGGGGGCCCAGATCCTTGGCTCAAAAAGCAATGAAATCTCAGACTTCTGGGTTTTCAGAGCAGATGTGGTTGCAAGCCGAGCCTTCTAAGTCTGAAAGCGAGAGATATTTTTGGCCTGTATTCCTGGCTCCTGGATAGCGGGAGGGGCTCAGAAGCTTAATGAGGACGGGGCTGGGGACTGGGAGCGCCAGATTCCTGAAAACGGGAGGGGCCCAAGGAGCCGGTCTGCCCGGGCCCCCAGAGCAGGGAGGGGCTGCGCGATCCTTTTTTAGGGGCGGGTCTGGGGCCCTGAAACCGAATGATAAAGGCAAGACGCAAGGGGGAGCTGAAGGTGGGGATGCCGGGCCCGGGGTCGGAGAGGGGCGGGGACCGGGACGCCTGGGTCCCTCCCTGCTGGCCGTGCTCACTCACCGCGCTCTGCAGTCGTCCCTGGCGCGGCCTTGCTCGCCGCTGCCGCTGGGCGGGGCCTGGTGGCGGCTGCGGATGCTTCGCGATGCCGAGCTAACGGGGCGCTGCCTCCGCTGCTGCCGCTGGGTGCCTTCCAGGTCGACAACTGAGGAGGCTTTGAGGACGAGCCCTGGGGTGCAAGCCTCGCGCGTCGTGCAGGGAGGGGTACGGAGGGGTCTGGGAGCTCTGTATACCTGGCTGCGTGCCCTGCGGAGGTGGGAGGGGCTGGGGGGTGGGGGGGACCTGGACGCTCTGTGCTCTGCAGAAGTGAGGGATAGGGGCGGGGATGGGAGGGATGTGGAGCCTGTATGCCCACTTCTGTGCCCCTGTAAAGGGGGTAGGCACAGACCCTCTCTGCCATTCGGTGCCCTGCATAGAAGGGGTCTCAGTGAGCCCCTCATCTGGATGGATAGGGAGTCAGGACATGGTGTTAATTGGAGGTCCCCAAGTTCTATTCACACACCTCCTTGGCCCCCAGTGTAGCAGCATCTTGTCCCTCTTTCCTCCCCAAATCAGTCACTCTCTTTGCCTGAGCCCCTGTGGCACTCCTGAGATACCCCAAATAGTCCAGGGGCGGTCTTCACTCACACAACTTACTATGTTGTGCTGTTTGGTGGAAGCGTTCCCCCGTTAGCCACTAAAACCCCAAAACAGCAGAGTTCAGTAGCAGGAACAGGAAACAAACATTTAAAGAATGAGTCATCGGGTGTGACCTGGAGAAGTGACACCGTGTGGTTCCCTGGTCTGTATAATCTAGCATCCTGTATGTGCCACTGGTTCAGAGTGTTTACTCATCCTGTAGAACATTACTCCAACCCCAAAGCTGTTGTCTCCAAAATGACACTATAACCCAGTCTCAAACAGGCCCTGCTTCTGTTCTGTGAGGCTAGCTGCTTCGGGGTGATGGGGTACGTGGACCCGCCCACTGACTTCCTAATACTGAGTTTCTTAATCAGAAGCAATATTGTGTGGGTTAACATAGCGGTGAATAGGACCATTCAGTGCATACACAGATGCTGCTGTTGGCAGGAGTGCGAAAGGGAAGGAAAGCAAATAACAAACCAGAGTTAATTATTCCAAGGAGGAAAAGGTCATTGCCCACTCTGTGGTGGAAGTGGCCCAATGTAATCCTCAGGTGACCATGTATTTGGCTGGTCTCCCAAAGAAACCATACCACACTGGGGGCTCAGCACTGCTTGCTGCTACCACTAAGGTGGGCATTCACCAGTGACATAGCTGACTAAGATTTGGTGAGGCAAATCCATGGACGGCCCACCATGGCCACTTTGTTCATGAGCCCACTGAGAAAGCACTGGGGAGACTGGGGAAAGAAGCTGACCAAGAGCCACAGAGTGATCATCTGCTCTACCAGATGGCTTAATAGCATTCCCTGTAATAGAGGTTTTTGAGGGAGAATTCACGTGGATATGGATTATGAACTGTTTTTCACTCCTGACACTTCTGATGCTAAGTGTGCGGGCTTTTTGTTTTTTTGTTTTGCACCAACAAACCAGTTCTCCAACCCTGGATACTAACTGAATGTCTGAGTGTCAAGTGATTCAATTCAGTTCTGAATCTGGGTACAGTAATGACCTGGAGTTATTGTCAGACCCCACACGTTAAGGGCTCAGTCCCACAAGACTGCTCTCATTTTAGATGCCAATCACAAGTCCTTGGTCTCCTGTACTTCTGACCCACTGGTTCTAAATTGGGGATGTCCATGACCCCTTCCTTGGGTTCCATAATTTGCTAGAATGGCTCACAGAATTCAAGAAGGCATTTTACTTAGTATTACTGATTTATTATAAAAGATACAGCTCACAGACAACCAAATGGAAGAGATGCATAGGGCGAGTTATGGGGGGAGGGATGTAGAGCTTCCATACCCTCTCCAGGTGCACCACCCTCCCAGCACCTTGATGCTTTTACCAACCTGGAAGCTCTCTGAACCCCGTTATTGAGAGCATGATTGATTAAATTGTTGGCCTTCGGTGATTAAGCTCAATCTCTGTCTCCTTTCCGGAGGTCTGGGGGTGGGGCTGAAAGTTCCAACCATTTAATCAGGTGATTGGCTCCTCTGGCAAACAGCCCCCATCCAGAAGCTATCCAGGGGCCCACCAAGAGTCATCTCATGAGCATAAACTCAGGTGTGGTTGAAAGGAGTTTATTACAAAAGACTCTTCTCACCTCATCACACAGGAAATTAGAAGGATTTTAGGAGCTCTGTGCCAGGAATGGGGGACAAAGACAAAATTATATATCTTATTACATCACAGTATCACACAGATGGTTCCATGCTCTGGGTCCACTGGAAAGTTTCATTGATTCATCTACAAGTATTTATGGGCCTCCTACGTGAGAACAAAGCAGGCCAAGGAATAACGGCTCTAATGGAGATTTTATCTTATTTGTTAACGGCAAAGGGTTTAATACAGTAACTTCTTCATCTGGAGGGGACATTCCCACTGTCCTCAGATTATTGGATACTCAGTAACTTCCCTGAGGGCACAGGCTCCCCAGTGTTGAGGAGTTTTTTCTCCCATGCTCTGGTATGTATGTGTCTTAGTAAGATGTACAGTGTATCTATCTGCTCCTTCCTGCTTTTTAGGTCATCAATGCAATTCACCAGAATTGAATCTATGGAGTATTGAAAGATCGAGTTTCCTGAAGAATAAGCTGTAGAACAGAGTTGGAGAATTAATGTAACACCTGGGAAGATGTGACAGTACTGCTATACACCTGTATGAGTTTCCTGGGGCTACCATAACGAATCATCATGTTCTTGGTGGCTCACAACAACAGAAATTTATTCTCTCATGGTTCTGGAGGCAGAAGTGTGAAATAAAGGTGTCAGCAGAGCCCCACGCAGAAGGCTCTAGTGGGGAACGGGTTCCTTGCCTCTACCAGCTTCCGGTGACTGTGGGTGTTCCTTGTCTAGTGGCCTCAACATCCAGTCTCTGCCCCCTGTTTTCATGTCACTTTCTCCTCTGTGTGTTTGTGTCTTCTTCTGTCTGAAATCTCGCTCTATCTCTGTCTTCTTAGGACATTTATCACTGGATTTAGGGCCCACCTGGGTAATCCAGGACGATCTCCTCTTCACAAGATCCTTAACTTCATCACAGCCCAAAGGCCGTGTCTCTAAATAAGGAAACGTTTACAGGTTCTAGGGATTAGAGTGTGGACATATCTTGGGGGCTGCTGTTCAGCCTACTTCACCATCCCTGGTGAAAGCACACTGCTTCTAGGTCTTGTGTTTACTGTGATGGAGATAAATGGACTGGCCATTCTAGATGCCAAGGGCTGGGTTGATTTCATCCAGCAAGGAGATCACAATTGCACAGCTGCAATTGGAGTTGCTCTGCTGGTGTCCTGTATATACAGCAGTGAGCCTTATGGAAGTGGGGAAGAAGAAGGAGAAACAGGGATCCTGTGTGTCCAGATCTCGCTTTTTCCCAGGGAGGTTGGGTTTCTTGGGATGATGGAGACCTGTGCATCCAGCACCATGCAGGAAGGAGACTCCTTCTCGACACTGGAGCAGTCGTCACCACCCTGCTCCATGCCTCTCTGGTCAAGACCTCAGAAGCCCTTGCTTTATGTCCTTTGAACCCGTTCCAAAATCAACAAATTCCCCTATAAAAGCAACTTCTTCTTTAAGTGTTCTTTCTTTCCTGGTCTTTATTGACGTGGATTTCCCCCAAGCCTGTTCTCTGGCTGTAACACCTTTTTGTTACCTATGGACCTCCTGAATACTTCCCTCATTTTCGCATGGTTTCCTGAAATTCTCTAAAGAACTTCTCAACTGACGTCCATGAATAGGTCATAGGTGGGCTGTGAGATATTGATTCCCTCAGCCCTCAGAGTGACCTGGTTGCCTCTGACTGTGGCAGGCTCATCTGTTTACCTCAGTGAGCTGTAAAAATATTCTGTTTCTGTTTACCCCATGATGTGAAAATGTTTGGGAGGCATTGGCTTAGAAGACCCGCAACACTGACATCACCTTCCACTCCACAGCAGTCCTCCACGCACTCAATCTCCCATGCCTCTCAGGCATCAACCACTTCTCCTTCCGTCTTGCTTTCTCAGTAACTTGCACTATGACCTTTTCTTAACCTGATAGGAACCCCCAGTGGATCAGCCCTCTTTTTCTTCACTTTCCTTCTTCAGATATGATGCCATGGTCCATCATTTCAATAACACTCTCATGTTAGGGATCGAGCACTCCCTTGTCCTTCTGTCTTTGCATCACCCCAGTCTCGGAGACAAAAAGTCCATCTATCGGGTTTTTTGTTTTGTTTTCCTGTGCTTGTCCCTAAGCAATTGAGCATTACTGGAGAAGGTCACATTACAGGGCTGAACCGTTTCAACATAAATACGTGATCACCAAATTCAGATATACCCTGAACATTGCCCGCAATCCCATTGCAATCATCTGGTCAACTCATTCTCATCTCCACAGTGACAAGTACACTATTTCTATCCTCTTCAATCTCGGACACTCTTTACACCTCCTGACCCCCATTCTCAGCCTATGACCTGCCTTCTTTATTTATAGAAATCACGGAAGCTGTCAGCTGGGAAGTCCCTCAATTTCCCTATCCTGTAACCATATACCTGACTATATTTCCGGGACTCTTCTCTTCTAACAATAGTGAAGTTGTTCTTCTCATCACATACCAATCCTTTTTCTTATTTTTTTGATCCTTAAATACATCCTTCTCATAATCTTACTATTGCTATTACTCTTCTCTTTGGATAATCAGCATCTCCTACTCAAAGAACGTTCCATCAGCTTTTTAAGGAATAATAGTTTATTTATTTTTATTTATTTTTTTTGTGTGAGGAAGATCCGCCCTGAGCTAACATCCATGCCAATCCTCCTCTTTTTGCCAAGGAAGACTGGCCCTGAGCCAACATCTGTACCCATCTTCCTCTAATTTATGTGGGATGCCGCCACAGCATGGCCTGACAAGTGCGCGCCAGGGATCCGTACCCAGGCCACCAGCAGCGGAGCATGCGCCCTTAACCGCTACGCCACGGGGCCGGCCCCATAATGGTTATTTTTAATTGTGGTAAAATACACATAACATAAAATTTATCTTTTTAACCATTTTTTGAGTGTACAATTCAGTGGCATTAAGTACATTC